TCTCGAAATATTCTCGTTCCAAAAATTACTGATATTCTACGAAAGATGTCAGATTTTTCTGTTTGTGGAGCCTTTAATATCTCGAGAAGGAAATATTCTTTTGAGAGAAATTTTTCAGGACACTCTATAGACCAATAGACTTGTCTTAAATGAAATCTCAAACCAGATTTTCAATAAAATGCACATAATTCTGGACGGAAGAGGTAAGACAGCTTATCCTTTCGTGATTTTTTCTATATAACTTAATTCAAATTTATGTAATGAATCCAAATTGACAAGTGATTGATCAGTTGAAAACGTTTCCTTATAATTTTCTTTTCATTTTAATCAAATCGTATCAGAAACATTGTTTTTTATGGTTGTAACGAGATATTTTTTGGAAGCTTTAGAAAAGATTACAAAATCTTTCTTGAAACCGTTCATATTATTTTTTATAAATAAAACTTTCAACATTTCTGAACCCTTATTTCTAAAAAATTCAGCTAATTAATTTATACAGAATTGAAGATATATATATAGATTCTGTATCGTATTACTCTACGTGGCTGAGCTGTTATATTAATATTAATTTTCTATTTCATCAGTAGAAAGCATATAAAATATCATTTCAACTTTCTGAACTCGAGTATTAAACCTTATGGTATTAAAGATTTCAAGAGATATATTTATCTGTCGAAATCAGTTCTGAGAAGAGAAATAGAGTGTAGGATATCTATGTTTATTTTTGATTTATTCTTGGTTTATACAGTATCATCTTACAATAAGTATTTTCTTGTCATAATAAGAAGATTGTGACAGTTCATAACTAAAAATAAATATCAATAAGATTATTTCTATGATACTTCATATTTCAATGTCATGAATCCTCCTACGGCAAAATGCTCACACTGCAACTTCAAATAAATTAGAACAGCATGCTAGTCGCTGTTTTATCTAGCGTGTGACTGACAAGAAAGGTACGCCTCTCAAAAGATCGAGTTAGCCCTCCTAGAGTTAATCGGTATTTTCTCACGTACTGTGTGTGCTGCCAAAAATAGACGCTCATCTTCCGGATGAGGGAGTCTAGATAGAACATTAATGTCGACATATTTTGATCAAGATAGCTTTTTAGATGATTTTAAGTCGAATAAATATAAATTTTTTCTTATTCTATTAATTGTTTTACATATAGCTATGTCGATATGTCTATGTTTGAAACGCAATTGTTTACTTCAATGATTTTGTATAAAATTATGCAAAACAAACTTTAATTAATAATTAAAATCTATTTTTTTATTTATTAAATATTGTGCTGCATACTTAGATGATATTTATTATGCTTTTAACGGAAAAAAATACAAACACTCTAAAATTCTAATATCAAAATGATTCAAGAATCTTATTTTGTTTGTAAGAAGTTTTTCGGAAGAAAGTTTAATTGATGTACAATAAAAAATAAATAATGCAAATAAAACTTACTAATTTTTCTCCATCTTTACTATTTTTTGCTGGTGATCTTGATGCATAACAACTTTCAAGGAAATAAACACCTTGTGGCTTAGGTGAATTAACATTTTCATAATAAAACAGTAAATTTTGATATAAAACAAACCATTTTAATTGCCATTTATTTGGCGATGATGACGTATCGGGTCCTCCACGTCTTGATAAATATCCACATTCACGATTCTCTAATCGTGCTTTTATTGCTAAATTTAATAGATGATCTTCATTTACTTTAAATGATGTACGAGTCATTAGAATAGTCGGTAAATTTTTTAATGGTAACCAAGAATCAGATGATGCCATACGTGCGCGTGAATTATATGTTGTCTGTTGAGAATTATTATTATTATTTTGAGGCTGCATGAATTTTAATAAAAATGATGATAAAAACATAAGTTTAATAAAATTGGATGAATGAATTAAGAAAAATAATTCATGAATATAATTATTGTTTCATGAATATATCTAAAATAAAACAAATATGACGAATAAATTTCAAATGTGTATGTATGGCTTTTTTGTAATAATAATATGAATAATAATAATAATAATAATGAATTTTCTTTCTACCTGGTTATACTTTTTTAACAGTTTTTAGTTCGAAATGTGTTGTATGATAATGAACCATTTTTCCAGTATGTCATCTATTATTTAATCAGTATCTTTGATGAAAAGAAAAATACTTAGTAGATTTTTCTTTTAAAACAAGCATCTCGAATGTCTATTAAACTAACATAAGTAATACATATACTTGCAAAACATGTTCAATGTCACGTCAGTTTTTTTTTTTTTGGTCTAATAATTCAATAAGAATAATTGAAAAAAAAGACAATAGATTAAAATGCCTGATTAAACTCAGTTATTCTTTTACTTAATTTTTTTTGTGTTTTTAATAGTATGTCAATTATTTTTTCCATTTTTACCATCATTTATCTCAGAAACACTCAAGAAAATCACAGGAAAAGGAAAAAAAATAGAGTATATGCTTGCATTACGTTGATGAATTGATAAAACAACCGGAATGACGAACAAAATGCATGCACACACGCATTCATACGCTAAGAAGCTGCTAGTACGTGTGTGAATGTAGCAAATATAAAAAAAAAGACTACGACTTTTCTAATAATTTGCTCTTGAAAAGCTCTCTAATTCAAATATAGATTAGAATACGTATGTTCATAGAGTCAGTCTTCTTATTATTTCTTATTTATAGGCAATCTAATTGAAAATATAAAAGCAGATAACTATCAATATATAATTATATTTATAATAGAACATATTGTCAACTATCTAGGATCTTATTTCATTCTTTTACTTGCTTTAATCTTAATGTAACAGAAAAAACAACAATAAGTTAATCCATTTAAAAATACATAAAGATATTATTTTTTTCAATAGTTGACACAAGAGAACAATATATCATTTTTTTTTTCTTTTTACTTATTATTTTTAGTCTAGTTTTATTATTGTGTCTCTAACAATTGAACTATATATTGTAATAATAAAAACTGACAGTAGATGTATGCATAAAAAATAATCATAAATATTAGTGATTACATTTGAGGAAATTCACTAGGGGAATCTTGCATAGAACAACACTGTATTCGTTACTTCCGCTAGAAAGTCACACGTAAATTATTTTGATTATTATCATCTATAGATATTAATAAGAAAAAAAAGACACAAAAAATGAAGTAGTTTTCTTCTCTTTTGATGATTTTATTTTAATAAAACAAACAGAAAACTGATTGATTGTTTAAATTTTTATGTAACAACAAAAAAACAAAATTTCAGTTGCCAATATCGTTATATTAGCTGTATTGTTGAATGAGTTTCGATTTTTTTTTCTAAGCGATAAAAATATAAAGAATAGAAAAATTAACACTAGTTTCTATATCTTACTGATATATCTATATTTTCTTGAAGTAGAAAAAAAACCTTTTTTCAAATGAAATTTTCTTTTTCTTTTTTTAATTTGTGTAATGATACTTACAATACAAGACAAGCGTATGTTATACGTTTGTTAGAGAAATGATGGTGATAGTAAATTAATATTTTTTTTTTATGTATTTTAAGACAAAAAAACAACTTTTTCAAAGAATAACATTGTGTATATAGTTATTAGTCAATAGAAAAGGTTTATTGCATGTCAAATACTTATCTTTCTTGTTTTTTTCCATCTGAAATCGTAAATCCTAATTATTTTTTTTTTCATAGTCAAATAGAAGAAGATTATATACCAATTTCCTCTGTAAAACAATTACATGTAACAATACAAAATAATGTTACTTTATATTAAAAAAAAAGAAAATGTTAGCAACTAGAAGTAAGTGCAAATCCAGGTAAACTAACTTACCATCCTTCATTCTTATTGCTTGTATTTTTTACAACTGCCTTTATGTTTGCCATGAACTGTGATACATATAACCTAATTAATTATTATTCTCTATGTATTATTTCATCTTATCATCTAGTATTGTTGTCTCGAGAACAGTGTTGATAATAGTCACGAACGTTAGACATATAAAAGTATATGAATGATGTGTATCATCTTCCATAAAAAGAAAGAATAAAAACAGTTCATTATCATCATAATCATCTACTATTCTTTTCGCTGAACTACGTTTTTTTCTTCTATTTGAAGCTGACAAATGCAGCACATTGAACAAAGCCCGAAAGCATGCAGGCTGTCACACACATACTACTTTTGATGATAATTATGTCAGCATAGAAGACACAAAAAGATGAAGAAGCTCTATTATACTTAGAAAAAGATAGAGACAAAGAAAACACTACATGCACGTCAAAGATATTTAAACGAAAAGTATTTAATTTCTTTTACTTTTCTTTATATAACACTCAAAGTCTTTTATTATGTAACAGAAACAATAAATTTAGACCAAGCAGGGGTTACTCTAACCAAGATTCTGTATAAATAAATATGAAATAAAAACAAAAAAAATGATGACTTGAAACGTTCTTGTCATGTTATGTTTTAATCATATTAATGACTGTAGTAATCAAAAATTATTGATTAAAGAAGCAAAAACTTGTCATAATAAAGACGAAATATTCTCTAAGGTAATAATTATTTCCCACTGCTATTTTCGTATTTTTCTTTTTCTTTAACGTGACGCTATTCATTCTAAGTCTACATAGTTTGTCTCATGAGTATGTAAAAACGCATCAGACGTAAATATTATTAGAATTATCATGTCTTTTCTTTTTTAAATTAATTCATTTGTTAATTATTTATTTATTTTTTGTTTCAATAGTTATACATATATTCATCCCGGTGAGAGAATTTTATGTACAAACACGCACAAAGTATAAAGAAAAAACAAAAACAAAGCTTGGTTTTTTTTTTGTACATCTGACTGGCTTAAGAAAACAAAAACACAGAAGAAATTCGTTCGCTGGTTAAGAATTAATTAGACTTCGTTGAAGGATATCTATCTGACCCGTTGAAAAGCACAAACAAACAAACAAAAAAAACGAAACAATATATTGAAATTTTAAAAATGAACTTCAGTTGGTGTATTGTTATTAGTGTTTATTCCATTATTAGTGCCGGCAAGAACATCACGACTAATTTGTTTCATAAGTTCTTGAGTTTTACGACGATTTCGACGAGCCGCATCAGCACGTAAATATGGTGCTTTCTTTAAGTCTAAATAATAATAATAAAAAAAAAAGAAAATTTTCAATTTCAAATCTATTTTTATCTTTCTACAAAATGAAAGTCTTCACTTACCATCTAATAAGGTTTCAATAGTTCCATCTGTTAATGCTTCACGTTTTATTAGTTTTTGATCTTTGATTGCTTCTTTTCGACCTTTCAGTTCATTTAATAATTCTTCCTACAAAAAAAAACATAAATACAAATCACAAACTAATTTAAAACAAAAAAAGACACAAATAATTATAATAAATCAATTTTTATGAAAGCAAAGTCAAACAAAAATGAAAATAAAAAAAAAACAAGGGGTTTGTTGAACAGAGAAAAAAGTAAATTAGATACCACAAGCGTAAAATAAAAATGTACTGATTACCTGATGTGTCATATGATCATTTCCCTGCTCGATTTACGTGTTTTGTTTTTATAAATTTTACATTATATAAAGTAATCAATTTTACCTGTGTACGTTTCATTATTTGACGTTTATTTGGTCGATCAAGTGTGGCAGCAGCTTCACGAGCTAAACGTTTTCGTTCTTCATTTTCATTACGTGCTTGCTGAAGAATAAGAAAAAAACAAAATGTTCATTAAAAAAAAAAAAAATTATTTGACAACTCAATAATAAACATACTTGATATGCTCGTTGAAATTTAACAAATATTGAAAAAAAATTTGATGGACTTTGTGTACGTGGTGCTTCACCTTGAATTCAAAAGAAAAAAGAATAATTTATCATAATTTTCTTTTCTTTTTTTTGTTTCTACCAAAATATTCTACGCATTGATTAAATGCATCTTGTGCTAATTTAGCATCTTTTACTAAACGATCAATTTTATCTTGAACTATATTAATAAATTCTTCTAATGAACGTATTTCAACATTCTGAAAATAAATTCAAAGAAAATATTTTTCTTAAAAAAATAATCATTGAAAAAACCTTCATTGTTTGTCGTATGACAAGTTCTTTTTTGGCATTATCTAAACCACGTGTTAGATCTTGTACATCAATTTGAACATTTTCCAATGATACTGAAAATAAAAAACATACAGTTAAAAGAACGTATAGACCTTATTGAACACATCAATGTCTTGAGTTAATATAATCAATCACGATATATTAGTATCGGACTGTTTTTCTAAATTTTGTCCTTTTTTTTTTTTTGATTAACAAATACGATGGCTTATGTCAATTAGCATATGACAGAACAATTCATTAGTATAATACTATGTGACATAATTAGACACAAAGAAATTTATTTATCAGGTAGTCCAAAAAAATAATTTACTCATTTTTTTTTTTTTGAAATGCTATTTCTACTCTTCTAGAATTGTTTTTCAAAAGTATGAATCGGTATTCTCTTATCGGAAAGCAAAAAAAAACTCTTACTAGAAGTTACCTTTAAGCTGAAATTATAGAGCTCATGGTACACTTCCTATGAAAAAAAAAGCTTTGATCTTACAAAAAGTTTCTTGTTTTGATTGAATTATTTAACTTGGATACTAATTATTGTTTTCTTCTTTTTTTATTATTTTGCACTTTGCTTCTTATTATCAAAGCAAAATTTTTCAACAATTTACATATATTTTCTTAGCTATTGTAACGCTCTATCCATAGTATATAATTGATCGTAGAGAAAACAAAGTCAAATAATGAAATAACAAAACTAGTACGATATTTTAAGCTCTATCTATTACAAAAGAAATTGATTCAATAATTAAATTTTATAACTGTAGAAATTATATTTCATGAGGGAGTAAGTTGTTTTTTGTTTTCGACTGATCTACATATCTATTCGATTTTTCCAGAGAAACAAATTACTATTACTGGAAAATATAAGCATTTTGTAGAAAATTTTACTAGAAAAATACATGAAAACTTTCATATTTCTAGATGAATGGAGCGACAATATTTTCTATGGTATCATTAATAGTAAAGATCTTTCTATAAGTATGAAAGTGATAATAATATATTCAAAATAAAAAAGAGAATAAAAATAGAAAAATGTGTTTTATTCCAACTTAATTATTTAACCTTATACAATGAATAAATAAAAAAAGCACATATCGATCAAAAACTTTTAATATTATAAAAATGATTCAGAATATTTGATAGTGAAATTTTATCAAACATATACTTTATTCTTAACATTATCTGTATTATTAATAATTAAAGAACTCAATAGATTCTTACACAGATATGTTTCAGTAGAAGAAATTAAAGGTGATCAAATCTTTACATTGTATCTCATCACATCACATAGAACATAATAATTGACTACAGCAAGTACTATTTCATATAGACAAAAGAAACATGTTAAAATGTCATTTATGACAATATTAATCAAATCATGTTTCATATTTTGATTCCATAGAGATTTCATTGAGAATTATATTCTATGATGAAAAGGCTATTAGCACGATTTTTATACAATTACCATATGAAACTCGAAAATAACCAATTTTACCAATAGACTGACGTATTTTACAAATTAATTTAAAGCAATGCTGTATACATATTTTTCTCTTATTTTATCATGATTAGACAAAGTTCATCAAGCTACATAAGAAAATACAAAAGAAAAGTTCATGATAACATTATTTTCAATTATAGAGAGCGATGAACACAAAATTCTCATTCTCATTAAATTTCTTTTTTATAGCGATGAGTTTCTTATTCACTTGACAAACTTCATTGAATCATGGCAACAAACAGAAAAATAAAACCATTTTCTCTTAAATCGAAACAATGACCTCATTGATGGGTCCAATTATTCGCTATTGTCGAACCGTACTTTAATACTTTCAATGAAATCTATTAAATTGGAATTGAATAGTCATGCCGAAGATACGACATGCTTTTTTCCATTATTTTTGTAAACAGTGACTAGCACATCCTACGTGTTTCTCAAACGGCTAGAGAGTGTCGGGTAAGAAAATTTCAGACCAGAACTAACTCGAAAAGTTCTACAGTCTTTTACAACAAAATTTTTCATTACCTTGTGCAGCTTTTTCAACGGCTTGTAGATCAGTATCAAAATGTGATGTATCAGGAAATCGATCTTCAATTGTTTGAACAATAAAATGAAGTAATGTTAAACGTTTATCATGTGTACGTGTATCAGTTAACTAATAAAAATCAAAATAGTTCATAGAAAAAAACTAAACAATTTAGAAAATAGTATTTACAATTTCTAAACTTGCTAGTTTGAAACCATAAACTGGACCACGTTTACTACTGTTCATATAATTTCCAAAAGCAAGTATAATCTAATATGAACGAAAATACAAAAATTTATTTAAAAACTTCAATGATGATTTTTTATATTTTACTTCAAGAAGTTTTTTAAATCTTATATTATTTTTTAATGATGATGATGCTGTTATAATAGCTTTGAGTTGTGGTGCTAAATTTTGATTAATATCGTAAAAATTAGCCATAAATGAAACAACATTTAATTTTTGAGATAATCTTTCAATTTTTGAAAGCTAAAAAAATATACAAAAAATATTCCATGAAAAGAAAAAACATTCGTTTATTTACTCCATAAAGAAATTGATCTTCATCTGATAAATTCATTACTGATTTTCCATCAGATAAATATGATGTAAATGCTTTTATTTCTGCTTCAGTTGGAATAAAATGTTGTAAAATATCAATTGTATCAGGTGTTAAAATTTTCAAATCAAGACTAAAATTTTAATCATTGTATAAATTATTACATTATAATCTATTAAAATTCATACTTATTTAATGCTCGTGATATCATATTTACATCAAGATCAAGTTTTCGTCGAGCAATACCTACGAAACGAAAATTAAAATAGATTAAATTACTTTGTACTGTTTTATAATTTCAAATGAACATTAACACATTATCTATGTATTTTTTTTTTATTTCGATTTCAATAGTTAACAATTAGAATAGTTCTATAAATATATAGATTACAAAATTGTACAGAGAAAATATTATATTAGAATGCGAAATAACGCTTCGTTGGAAAACTTCTACATTTTGATTGATAATTTAAGATTTTGTGAACGAAAAATATTAGTGCATTATTCATGTTATTATGATATGGAGAGATTATGCTGGAATTTTCAGCCGTATATCATGATATTTTCAAGACACATTCACATAATACAAGTTGGCAAATGGAAAATCTTTGTGCACTTTCATTTTATGTATTTAATTTTTTTTTTGTCTAAAAGAACATACCAGGATGCAGGGAATGTCAGAGCCCTTTTGTTTTGAAATTCTCGCTTTTTAAGAAGAGAATAGGGATGAAAAGGTCAACGTCTTGAAAAATAGCGTCCTAATTATAAGAGTTCTCTTTTATATAATAATAACAAAGCGATTGGCTACAATAAACCTTCTTCGAAAATTCAAGGGGTGCACGATCGAAACAGGGAAATGTTTTTGACAATAATACATTTTTCAAGCAGAAAATGACAGAAGTTTGTGAAAAAAAAATAATGTTATTTACGGAAAGACCAGGCCTTGGGCTATCTTTCCATGTATTTTAACTCAATTTTCATGTTTTTGATGGAGTGACTTAATTGGAATGTCATTGCTCTTTCTCTCTCAATTCATCGATCGAAACTCAAATATAACACTGATGTATAAACTAATTAGATTTTTAACATAAATCTCTTTCTCAATTCAACATTGGACGCTTGTATATACCTATGTAATTCGAAAGGCTTAGAAGATAAAAAAACATTGAATGTGCAAAATTAGAATGGAAAAAGATTAGTAATAAAAGATTGCTCAAGTAGAATTGTTAAAACATTTTTTTTCTTCTGGTTGAAGGTGGATTGATTGTTTGGCGAGGTCTTTCTCTTTTCTCATACCTTCACTCTTGAAGGTCGTGTTGTTTTTCTTTACTCAATAAATCTTTTTTATCAATATTATAGGTTATCATAATGATAAGCTTCTTATTTGTTTTTCCTTTCGACATTTATTCTTTCTAATATACATCTATTAAACTTCAATTATTTTCAATGTGTCTTCAAAGCTTTTTTTCTTTTATATATTTTTCTGTCATACTATCGGAACTTTGTGAATTATGTAGGTCCTAATGAGTTATGAAATGAGTTTGGTTCATTTTGAAAAATTAACTCTTGAATTTCGACTTGGAACCATGACACAAACAAAGCTTTTATTAAAACTAGTTTATTCTGAAAACTTTTATTTCTTAGTGGCTCCTATCGTAAAATATAAATATTAAACTTTTTATGCTATGATTGAACTGAAAAAGAATAAGATCCTTTTCGTATAATCATATTTACGAATAAAAGTAACTCAAAAATCTGAAAGTTTAATAATATGCTAGTTTCATCGGGACTTTTCAAGGTGTAATATTTCAAGTTACAATTTGAAAAATAGATTATCCAAATGAACCCAAGAGAAATCACAGCATTATTGTAAAACATTTTATAAAAATTTAATATTTCAGCAGAAACATGCTAGATATCCGAAGTCCTTTCAAGATATTCAAAACCTATATAATACACAGATTTTCGACTCAAAAGTGTATTGACACATTGCAACGTTTGCTCATAAGTTGTGTAGTATCTAATATTATATTTCGAATTTGATTAATTCAATTCAAAACTCCATAATATCATGAATTTCTTTTTTGATTTTTACCTAAATTTCTTTGTCGTTGTGGATCGAGTAATGTTAAACTTTCTGGAATTTTAATATATTTTTGTTTGAAATGTGGACTAACATTAGCTTGATTAATTGGTAGACCAGATCCTGTTTTGAATAATTCTTCAAATGTTTCAAAATCAATTAACTAATAATAAAATTTCAAAAAAATTTTCAATTTATAATCAAACAAAAAGAAAATAGTCTTACTTTAAAATATTTTTCATCATCAAGTTCACAAAAAACAGTACCACGAACTTGTCCAGGTTTTAATGATGTCCAATTAAGATTAGGTAATTTATATTTTGTTTGAATTTTCTTTTTTATTGTCATTGAACCAGGTGGGGCATCAAGCATACCTGGTGGTGGTGGCATACCAGATATCGGTGGAGGCTAAAAGAAACCCAAAACAACAAATAAGTGTAAATACAAAGAAAAATGTTCACGTACAGGTCCTGGAGGTGGCGGTGGTGGAATAAAATCTACAATTGATAAAGAATGTTGCAAGATAAAGAAAAAAATGAATTACTAATTACTTGGAGGTGGTAATGGTGGAGCAGGAGGTATATTGCTTACAGTATTTGACATACTAGTAGGCGCACCAGGAGGAGCTGATGATATTGATGATGTCGAACTATTCGAAGATCCTAAGAAATAAAAAAGAAAATACAAAGTTAATTTATTTCGTTTTTCGATAGATTTCTTTAAGAATAGTTTAAACATAAACTATACAGTAAAGGATAAAGAATACATTAGTTGAGTATGAACGTACAAATAGAATTCTCTCTAGACAATAGAACTTTTTTTCGTACTGTATACTCTGATTGAGGAAGCGATGCTACTTCTACAACAAATCGATTTAAGGTGACCTTCCCTTTCCAGAGTTTCTCGAGAATCGCTAAGCGGAAAATGTCCTTGACTTCAAATTCCTAGATGTTACCTTCAGAGAGATATGGGGCCGCAAAATACCAGACGTTTGACTCTTCACAAAACTCTATGCTTCATTTTTTCGAGTTGTAATTTTTTTTTCTGACAACTAGAATGAACTTGAGGTGCGCAATTTTTCTTTCGTTTAAAAATATCATTTCTAGAACTCAGGAGAAGCAAATACTGAAAACCTTGTCAAAAAACGTGGTTTTTTCAATGATACTCGTTTATTAAAGGCTGGCGAATTTCGTAGCAATAACATTTTGAAACAGAAAAAAACGCATCCTAATTCGACCAAAGTATTTATTAAAAAAATTGAACCCGATTCAATGTATCTTCTGGAAGAAAAGAGGAGAAAATTCGTTTTTTTGTTTTTTAGAAAAACGGAACACAAATTTTCCCGTTTGTATTAGAAATTTTTTCTCCAACTAAAGTGATCGAAAATTGGCAATGTTAGAAGTCACGAACCGATGCTCAGAGTACCTTTTGAAATTGTAAGTACTAACTAAAAGTAAAGAGTTCTCTTAAAATAAATATTTTCATGATATTAATTTTGTTTAGTCTTAGATCACTCGCTATGAAATACATACCTCTGTCATGTTGACTTCTTCTTAATGTATTTAATGTATGTGAAATATCATCGCGTTCTTTCTATTGAAGAAAACCGAATTCATCAGACACACTTTATAAGGAGAGGAAAAAAGTTCTTACTTTAACATTTTCCACTTGTTCTTCAGCAAAACTTAATGCTTTTTGTAATTCGGCTTTTCAAAACAAAACATATAACATAATACGAACAAAAAAATTTCTTTAATAATTCTTTTACCCAATTTACTAGAATTTCCACTTTCTAATTCTTGTATTCGTTCATTTGTCTGAATAAAAAAACAAAAATTATTATAAATTTATTCCTAAAAAAACAAAATATTCAACTTACGATGCCTAATTGTTCTTCTAATTCTGCTACTTTTGTAATTGCTTGTTGTTTTGTTTCTGAATCTTCAAGTAATTGACCAACATCAAAATAATTATCAAGAAACGCATGAATTTGTAATATAAATAGATCACATTCGCTATGAATTTCTAAATATTTCTTCAGACATTCATCAAGGCCAAGTAATTTAAATTCTTCTTGTAAATATACACGATAATTCATATCTTGTACTGAATGTACAATTATATTAATAAATTGCATACATGCAATCTATGAATAAATTATAAAAATAAAAGTGGAAACGATTATTTTTTTCAAATAATTTTACCATATAATCAACATTAAATTCTAATGGTTGAGTAAATGATTTCATTAATGTTTCAAATCGATGTCGTTCTTGACATACCTAAAAATACAAATAAAATTTTGATTTATTAATTTTAAATTTTAAAAAGAAAGGTTTACAATTCGAAAATTATCAAATGCTGCTAATACAACATCATGACCTAATTCAACCAAACATACAGCAGCAAGTAATTCCAAAATAAGTGATTTGCATCTATAAATAATTTTAACAAAACAAAACTTATTTAACAAGATTAAAAAGATTTTACCGATAATTTTTATGTTGTAAACTAAGTGTAATACAATTAAGGGCAGCTGGATGTTGAATGACAAGATTGAAACCATTCTAGAAAATGAAAAAAAATATTATAAATTATTTTTAACGACCTAAGATATTGAATATTTTCATTTTATCAAAATTTAACTAGAGAAGTAAAATTATTTTTGATATTGAGGAAGCTTTACAATTTGAATTTGAACAAATAGAAGCAGTTAATTAGAATCAGACTTTTTTCGCTCTTTCCGAAAATGTGTTTAGGACTTTCCTCTAGAATAATATCGCTTCAAAAGATCAAAAATACTGGTTGTATAGAACACTATCTTGTTCGTTTTTATGTGTCGATTGAAATTTATCGCATTCGAAATCCAAAATAGTTTTTAATGGCTTAATTTTCTTGAGCAAACTTTGCTCTACGAAGCATGCTATTTACTTTTGCGTAACAAGTTTTGAAACTTTGATATTTTTCAGACAGCGATTTATTTTACTAATGTCGATTTCCACAGAAATCAACTCTTTAGTGGAAACATATGCATGAGATTTCATTTACTGTAATACCTCATTTTCTATACAATTCAATGCTCTACAGCAAAGTTAAGTTAAAATTGTTCCAAGATACATAGTACGTAAACTAAGGTTTACGCCAAAACGGCTGTTTTTCTTTAGACAGACATTGTTTTGAATGTTTTCACAAAATTTACTGATGAGTTTCATCTTTTACTGGCCGAAAATTTTCTAAACATTTTGTACCAAGGCTTTCGCGCTTTATCTTAGAAAAGTTGTTATGCCCTTTTTTTCTAATTTATGTAAAAATGACTAAGAGAACACAGATAGGATCACCAGTCTTTTATTCTTAGTATGTTTTTAATAGACAATTTCAATTTTCAATTTTTCCAAAACAATACATTCTACTGATAATTCAACGTGTAAAAAGGACTCCTCAAATTACTCAACTAAATTAATTTTTAAATTTTGCTTTGCTGCCTTTAATACTAAGAAGTATCCAGATAGTGACTTGAGTAGAGAATTTTTTTTTCTAACAAGACTTTTTCTAAATTAAAAATGTGCTTTCGGTTTCCTCATGGTAGGGTCTGTAGAAAACGAAGTTTTTCAGCTGTTAGATTTCTTCTTTTGAACTACCCAGATTCTCTACTTAAAATACTATTTGGATTCTTATTAGTGTTTATGATAGCGGAAAAATTTTTTTTGATAATAAACTCAATCGAATAATTTAAAGAGGTACTGTAAATATTCAATAATATGTAAATTTATATTCACTTGATTATTCATAATTGCTCGAAGACACATAATACATAATCTAACATCATCAGTAGCTTCACCAATTTGATATTTTTTAATTTTTCTATGTAAACGTTTAGCATCCGATCGACCTAATGTTGAACGTTTTAAAGTTGAATTTTCATCTACATAATTATGACTTCCATTATTTAACATTGATATTGGTAATAAATGATGATTTCCATTTGAATTTGATAAAAAAGCAATATCATTTGAACTATCCACTTCACTAGAAAATGTTCAAAAAAAAAAAAAATTTTTGTTTTAGTATTCATCAATAAATAAACAAAACATGTTAGTTTATCATTTATTAAATCGTGCACTAAGTATCAGCTCTTTGTCTCACCCTAATAGACCACAAAAGAAAAATTGTCCATTGTTTATGGATGAATTATTTTTTAATTCAATATAATCAGGTTCAAATCTAATCTCTTAGAAATTAAAAATTCTACTGAAAATATATTTATTTATTACTTACCGCATCACTTCTAATGATGTTATTAAATAATCAAGTAAAACATCAAGACCTTTATTATATGAATTGAGAAATTCATGTACCCATCTAAATATAAATATTGTTTTAAAAATAAATCAAATGATAAAAGAATTTTTTTTTTTACCCAATATTATTCGTACGTAATGAAATTTCTAAACTTGAAAGTAATTGAGTTGATGGTTCGATTGGTTGTTTCTTTTTCTAAGACAACGAAACATTTAAAAATGATCTTTTCATTCTTCTTTTAATTTTCTTACTAAAGTTGATGCTTTGGGTACAAGATTAGCACCGCGAATATATGTTTTTAAACCATCTATATAATATTGTGGTGGATGCTTAGCAATAACTTGATCCTAATTTGTTTTTTTTTAAATAAATATTATAAACGATATAATTAATATGAATTTGTTTTCACATACTCTATCTCGTATAATATCCCATTTTTTATCAGGTGGAAATTCTCTTAACATTTTTAATTTATCAGCTGGTAAATCCATTGTAGCCTAACAAAGATAAATATATGTCAAATGTAAAGAAGAAGAAAAATCATATCATTTACAATTGTTTTTTGAAATAATTCTTCCAAAGTTCGATCATCTGGTCGCATTTGATTCATTTTTTCAAGACTTCCAATACTCTAAATATAAATTCTATATCTTAAATATATATATATAGGTATTTGTGTTCTTTTTTTTTTACTTTCCCAAATGTTTCTGATGAGTCAAGACTTAATGCTGATCGTATTGAAACTGTTCCCGGTTGCCATTCGGACGATGATATCGTCGCGTTTTTGCTATTATTTGTCTCCGTTGTGTTTGTTGTTATTTTTACATATATTATAAGATTTAAATGAATCTGAAAGGGCACAAATAGACATATTTTTTTGCGTCTCATAAAAACAACAACATCGTTTCAAGAGCATTTATTTGATAATTGAAAGAAAAAAAGCAACAGAAGCATTTATAATGAAACAAAAGGACTGCATATTTGAAGAAAAGAAATGAGACATAATACCTTGTAATCCAATTGAGATTGTTAAAAAGAAAATGAATATTTTGACAAGTGAGGGCGCGACTAAATAAATAGTTTAGGTTTCAACTACCGTTTAAATGAATCTCAACCATCAAAGAAAATACATCCTTCTATGACATTGATGTTAAAAAAAAATAAAATGTTATAGATATACATCAAATATAGACTCATGAGCCGTCTTGACGAAGCCTTTTTCAATGACAATCATTATCGGTCTAGTTACTCATATTACAAAATTTACTCTGTACGAAGACATATCTGTAATTTACATCTTTAACTACTGTCGTAACAAAATCATAAGTAATAACTTGTCGATATGATTTTTTTTTCTTTTCTAAGAATTTTGTTATTCGAACATAATATATCGTTCGTCTAAAGACCACAGTTTAAGTGATTATAAAAGTAAAAAACATTGAAAGAATTGACTCACCAATTCATACATTATTAATATTTATTGAATATGATATCAATATAAATCAGGGAGAAAAGTATCCTTTTCTTATTGAAGTATCATAATATGTTAAAAAATATTGATAGATTTATCATGAATCATTGGTTACGATTTCTTTTTTTTTTTCATTCATTCATTCATGCATTCATTCATTCATTCATACATTCATTTACTCATTCATACAAATCATAAATGTACACACCTTTGAGCGAAGGCCGCACCACCCTCATCCATCCATCTTTTTTCATTGACGATCGAAATATGATGATCTTTCTTTCTCGCTCTCTGTCTCTCTTCTCTCTCCCCCCTCTATTTTTCTTCATCGTCATCAATGTTTCGTTCGGTTGTTTAATTTTTATGATGCATTTTTCTTCTTTTTTTTGGCTCTCTCTTTCGTATTTATATCAGCTTGAAAAAAAAGAAAGGTAAAAAAAAAAAACTAGGAACTAGAAGCATACCAAACATCAGAAGAAAAAAACGACGAAAGAAGTATTAACGTACATTAATACATCCTTTAAGAAAGAAAAGAACACAATCTCTTGATAATAATACAATCACTTTTCAATTTTTCTTTACCTGTATAGACCAAAGTAAAAAGGTGATGATGACATTAGCTACGATTACTTGATACATATACGATTTAGCCAATTTGCTCGAATATTTCTATATATATTTCTTGATGCTTCTTCGATTGTATCTAAAAACAGTAGGCTTTTTTTTTGATCAATTGTTGAAAAGTGATGATAGGTTATTCTTTAAGTTGGATATAATCTGTAGTTATCACAGCATTTTGCATTTGTCACGATTCGAGCAAGATAACATCAACAATGATGTTTTATTGGCAATGAGTGAATTAGAAAAACAGATAACATAATCTTTACAATGACAATATTCATTCAAACCATGGTCACGATCAATACGGTCGATACGTATCGTCTAGTTAAAAGTATTATCAGACGTTTGAATCTCATGTGTCACGAACGAATAAAAAAAAACTTAAATACTATACAAAAAAAAAAAAAAAACGACCTTGGTAATTCTGACTGTTAAAAAGACATTGTATTCAAACAGTAACAAATGATCATCTTGATAGAAAAATCATACTATCCTCATATATGATGAAGAAACATACAAGAATGAATATACTGAATGCAAGAGAACAATGAGAACGTAAGGAACTGATCAGTAGAAGATTTGTTGACACAACTGCTGCCTTCAATAGAATTGAGCCGATTTAGTCGGCTTATATTTATATATAAATATATGTGCGAACGGTATAACTGATCTAATATGATATATGAATGTCATTATGACAAGCGTTACCATCATTCTATATTCACAATATAAAAGGCTCCGATTAATATGAAAGAAAAAAAATGAGATGGAAGAAAGAAATAGATAAAAAAAAAAAAAAGAAATGAACGAGTGAATGAAAGAGAAAAGTACAACAAAGGTCATAAAATACAATACAGAAGGAGGCAATCATCAGAGAACAAAGCAGAACCGGATGTGTAATACTCACGTTCATTTGTACACTGATTATGAGAAAACGACATAGCTACAGTAGGGTATCGATATTGATAATAAATACACATATGAAATAAGTTGGCTGGATGAAAAGAAAAGTTTTTCTTTTCAAGAGTAAAAAAAAAACTTAAGAATATGTTTACATTGTAAATGTAAGCATAAAATAAGAAGAAAAAAATCTATATACATATAATCGCTTAAGTGTTGTTTGCACTTACTTGATGAAACTACACAAATATCTTTGAAATCTTATAAAATTGTTTAGCATAGACATTTAATCGATCACAAAAACAAACAGGAGACAAAACGAAGAAGAAGAAGAAGAAGAAAGATAAAGGAAGACAAGATTATGATGAACGATGATTGATCAGTGACCTAATCATCTATTGGATTGAACAAATAGCAATAAAACTAAAGATAAAGAATGTGGCGCTTTAGATAAAAATTGTTTTATAAAGACATCTGTTGATATTAATCAATTATCCTTGAAGAAATTTAATTTTTATGCATCATTTCTAAACATAATATTCAAATATATTCATTTATATCAATAGTATTCTAGAACGAATCAAACAAAAGTCGTTGAATATTGATGACAAAATCCTTTAAAAATTAATATTAACAATAGATTTTGGTAAAAGTCGAGTAATTCTATTGCATCTCATACTTTAGTCAATGATTGATTCATATGTATATATATATATTTATCTAAATATGTTAAAGTTTTGTAAACTAAATAATAGTTCGACAAATGAAATACTGAAATAAGTTTAAAATAACAAAATCTCAATAGATTGTAATATTAAATGTGCATTACACTTGATATTTTCTGCTACGATAAATCTACCAATCTTTTTACTTTTTCTTGTGCATCAAAATATTTGCTTATTGTTCTTACTGATTCTCAACAGCGTAAACATTTATATACAAAGTTATCATACATATGAAATAAGTATTTATGTTTTATTCAAACAATCGGCAGAAACTTAAAAGTTTCTATTTTCACTACGGAAAAAAAAAACGACAGTTATTCAAATGTGCGCCACTCTTCGCTTTCTGTTTAATTGTAAACAAGTAAACAGATTACACAATACCATAGACCTATGCTAATATTATCTATCTACAAGAATATAATTTATGAGAACAAATTAAAATACTTGAAGACATCGTAGAATATTTAAAATGTTTTCTAACATAAATAAACAAACATCAGGATTACCCATCAAAAATATACTATCTTAATCAATGATATTAATTGATCACAATGATTTGAAAACGTCATCCTATTTGGAAAATTGAATCAAATATTTGCTATATTTTATAGAATAATTGATGAGGAAATTTCTTCAGATATTAAATTACTGTTCGACCGAGAATATATTTATTTAATGAATACTAGTGAGTAATAGAGAAGTCTACAAGGGTTTAATTTTGCTGACCTTCATTCTTGAGACATCTAAATTTTACTAGATTTTTTTCTTCCATAATGAAATTTTGATATCTCAATAACGAAGGATTGGAAAAGCAAACGATTAAAGACTTTTCTATTACTCACTAGTACTCATCGAATAAACATCGTTTCAGTTGAAAAACTATTTGACATCTGGACAAGTTCTCTCACATTAATTATAATATATTGACGGTACAGTTGTTCATAACGTACACATAATTTTGATGACCTTCATTTGTCAAAATAGGTCTTATACTGATATACTCGGATGCATTATTTACAGATCAAGCTTCTATAAGATAATGTTACTTACCTCATTGTGTGTGCTCCAAACAGTTTTGAGATACTAAATGTTATTCTTTTTTGTAACATTCTTCGAGCTAATATAAAATAATGACAAAATGTTGCTATTCAGTGAGGAAAAAACAGTTTATCTGTAGAATTTATGAAAGCTGCAATTTTCTATTCTAGGTTTCCCACGGAAAAACTTGTCTTCGTAAAATAAAAATAATAGATGTCGTTGTATATCTTTAGAAAAAAAAAATACAAGGAGGATGTGTAGAAATATAAGATGAAATCGATTAACCAATTGACGTGATTTCATGATTCATCAAAAACTAAATTGTTTATTTCACATTTCATAAATAAAATATCGGAATAAGTTCTTTTTTTTTTGTAATCATTTGTATTTGTCTTATTTAAGATTGACTGATATACTGTTTAAGATTTTTCTAGCATGTCGAAAGTACAAAAACAACGTGTACAAACATTTGGTAGAAAGAAAACTGCTACAGCTGTAGCTGTCTGTCAACAAGGTAGATTAGAAAAGAAAATTATTTTATTTGATTCAAATTTAAAATTTTTTTTTTTTTTTTAATTAAAGGTCATGGTTCAATTCGTGTTAATGGTCGACCATTACATCTTGTCGAACCACAAGTACTTCGTTTTAAACTTGAAGAACCAATTTATCTTCTTGGTCGAGATAAATTTGCACATGTTGATATACGTATACGTGTTAAAGGTGGTGGTCGTATTGCACAAGTTTATGCTGTTCGACAAGCATTAGCAAAATCACTTGTTGCTTATAATCAAAAATATGTTGATGAAGCAACAAAAAAACAAATACGTGATATACTCGTACAATATG